AATCAAGCTGAAAGGTCCAGGACAAAATTCCCCTCTCCAAGTTTAGACAAATTCATTGAAGGAAAACTCCAGGGCTTATTAAGTATGAAGATATTACCTCTGAGTCAGGAAGTCCTTGGCTACAAAGTGCTAGAGACTGGAGAGTTTACCAGGAAGGTATTACTCTCTGCTTCCCCCCTTCTTTCACTCCTACAGCATTTACTGCAGCTCCATCCCTAGGGAAGGACACTGGACAGTTGTTCTGGTCTGCTTCTCTGGACTGAAGGCCAACCCAGCTTCAGAGCAGTGATGGGCATGCTGACCCACTTTCCAGCATTACCTGGTGTTCTCAGCAGTGTCAGGTCCTTCCTTTAGACTTGGCCCTGGCCTTTCCTTACCCCAGATGCCTTCTGACTCCTAGAGCACAGCTCTTGGTTGTGACCATGTCCTTCACCTCCCCCACCTTTCATTATTTTCTGTGCCCTGTTGGCAGGAGCACTTGGCATCTGACTTGTCCTCATAACATTCATGTTTTTCTTGGAACTCCCAGAGATAGGATTTTTCCCAGCCTGGATGAGTTGCTGTTATTTCTATGGAGTCAGCAGTACAATAGACCCTCTTGGGAGCCAAGACCTTGTCTGTCTGGTGGCTCAGGCTTACAAAGACTCAATCCCACATGCTTAACGTTACCCTTTGATTCTCAGGATTAGTGTCTGATTGTGGCAGGTGAGAAGGCAGAACAGCCCAGCACAAACGGAAAGAAATCATTTGAGTTTACATTGCAACATGTACTCACTGAGAACCAGGTTAGAGAAACAGAAACTGGGGAGAGGGCATTGCTGACACGGGGAGCAGTGAGCAGACAGCAGTCTCTTGGTCACAGAAATAACAGTGACAGTGGAGAGGATTTTTCCTCTCATGTTTTTTTAACATGTATATTATACATGCTTAGTATAATTCACAATCCAGCAGTTAATGTCTCTGCACTATGGTTTTCCTATTTTTAAAAGTTGACTTAAAAGTTCTGAGTCTCTTTCAGCAAAGTAAGTAAAAACTGAGCAAAGGCATGTTAGTCACAATATTATCAAGAGATGAAAGTGATAGAGATATAAATTAATACCAGCTTTTAATTAAAATTGAATAAGTAAAAAAACCCTTGGCAGTTGCAAAATTCATTATGATGTGTTACCAAAAATAGATACCTTTATAAGAATGCAGTTTTATTACAACAGCTGTAAACATCATTGCTGAGATAGCGAGATAGAAAATGTGTTACTAATACTCATAACATGTTTCAGTTGGCTGGAATGGAAAACTAGAAACTGTTAAGGCACTTAATATGTGATCTCTCAGACTACCAAAATAGATGTATGCACTTCTGTTACTTAAGGCAACATCTGAATTTTGGGAACAATAACTTAGTGTTTTCTGCGTCTGGTTTTAATTTGCAAGGAAAACTCAATTTTAGAAAAATATAACCTGACTTAGCTGAAATATGTATGATCCAGTGTTTTTATTTCTTTCTGTAGAATAGTCAGACTTGCAATTTAGATCCTCCAAATGGTCATACATTTCATTTGGTAAAAAAAAAATCCCTTTGACCTTAATGAAAATATCTTCCAATATGAGGCCACAGATATAGATCTACAGTTTAGGGCATCTTTCTGACCAGCTTAGGATGTGTGTGTGTGTCTTGTGTAATGTCTGCAAAATTTACTGTCACTGAAAAAAGTGATTTTCCTTTCTTCTCCTGTAATGTAGAACATCAAGCAATAACATCAAATCTGTGGGTGGTTTATCTGATTTATGGTAATTTGCTATTGACATGCTTGAGGTATTACTTGCATCATCCCAGTCTTGCATATTTGTTTTTAAAAATATTAGCTGCTTATGAAAAGGAAATATTTTAAATAATGATTCATTTGGGTTGTGATCACATCTTGAGGCCAGGGCCCCACTCTGATAGGCTGTATACAAGATCTTTGCAAATGAAGTGCAACCTGAAGTGTATAAGATATGATTGCAGCAAGAGGACAGTTTGAATCCAAGAAGATTAATATACCCACCTACAAGGATTAGGTCTCAACTCATGAAATTTCAACCATTAAACATGAGGCATCTCAATCACCTCCAAAGCCAGTATGGGAAAAAGTTACCCCAGCCTGGGATTTAGTTCACATAATTTAGAGACCTGAGGCCTTCAAGGGCAGCTCAAGCACCAGTACCCAAGCTTGAGCTCTTGTTTTTGAACTTGGATGCTTCACTATAGTCTCCTAAATTCTTGTGTCAGTACCTAAGTAAGCATACATGGAAGTGATGAGGGAAGTGGTGACTCTTCAGCAAAGTCAGAAGGTGCTCCACAGGTGAATACTCTTCCAGAAAAAGCCACTTGCATGCCTATTTTATAGTATTGGGTTTTAGAAGTAGAGTCAGGGGCATAGCCCCATATTTTAAAAATTCACCCACCTTCCCTCACTGGCACCTACTTACTGATTTTTTTTTAAACAATCCCCTGTCCTAGATCTTGCTATTACTGTTGCTTTTTAATGCCACTGACAGATGTGATGCCTTGGTACATTGGAATTGCATGCGAAGTTCATGGGTTGAAACAAAGTACAACACAGAAAAATGTGATGTTTTCCACAGGAAAGATTAGAGCTGCAGTATGTCAAAATTTGCAGATACATGAATTTAAGGACATTCTGAATCTCTTGTTCTTTGTTGGCATTCCTTGTAGAAAAAAAAAAAAAATTATGATATTGAAGTAAAACAGCCAATGCCAAAGCTGCCACCTGCCAATAACTCCAATATTGTTTAGCATTGCTGTCTTAGTGGGATTTCACCCATTGCTTGGTATTTCAAAAGCCTTATCTAAAAAACTCCTTTTTCCCTGCAAAAGTTGTGTTTGCTTCAAATACTATGTGCTTAAGATAGAATAAACCATATATATGAGCAATTTAAGAATAATATGTCACAGAGTTTTTTTCTGAAAACTGGTAACTAACACAAGTGTATTTCTGGTGTCCATACCATTGCAGTTTTGGTATTTATAATTAAATTGTGCCCACTTTTTCCTTCTGACTTGCAAGTGTTTGCCTTTTTAGGTGGTCAGTATCTGATGAAGGTATCTTAACATTCTTGGATATTAAAGCCTTGAAATTATGATTGACATTAAACATGTGAGCTCCTTTTCCCCCAGATTCCACACCCTGTTGATTGCATGAGACCTTAGTAGTAGACACAGAAATACCCTTGATGAATGAGTATTCCAGTGGTATTCACAGGAGTAGAGTCATAAGATGGTTTGGGTTGGAAGGGACCTTAAAGGTCACCTAGTTCCGACCCCAGTACCTGGGGTTAGAGCACCTGGGTCAGAAACATTTGTAAATGCTTGGAATATTGAAATGGAAAGAAGGGCAAGCTCTGTTAAGGAAGAAGGTCTGGAAATAGGCCTGGCATACCAAGAGGTGCTGTGGTGGAGCAATGGCTGCAGCATCAATGCCAGGAGTCCTCCAGGCAGAGCTGTGCTGGCTCACAGGGCAGCACGCTCAGCCTAGGCTGGGTGTGAGAGGTTTTGGTTGCTCCACGGGTGATGTCTGCTGGTATCATCCGGAAGGTGATGGTATCACACAGGCATGCAGGACTGACCATAAGTTAGGAAACACTGGTCCTTAATAGATGTGGAAGACTGAATACCAGGGAGGCAAAGATTGGCTGATAGTGTGCAACAGCAGCACAGGGAACCCAGGCTGAGGCACTGCAGAAGGTAAATCATGAAGTAATTCCAAACTCTCAGTGTTCACTTGTGTTTCTCACTCTTCCCTTGGGGTGCACCTTGTGCAGCTAGAAAGAAAAACATTCTCTTTGCTTGGGATACCTTGAGGACTGCACCCCAGGGCCCTTCTCTGCCTCTGCAAAGGCATTGCAGAACTACCCCAAAGGAATGGAAAGCTATGGCAGGTGCTAAGTTTGCTGTTATTACCAGATAAGATTCAAAGATAAACAAATGCATTCAACTAAAAGCCTACATTTACAATAACAGAGGAGAGCTAGAAGATAAAACAACATGTATGCAATTCATTTAGGCTATACTTAGCTCTCTCTCTAAATATATATAAATATATATATATACTTATTTGTCTCTTCCTTAGCTGCTCCTGTGTCTCAGCTTTTGACTTTGGCTAACTTCTGCATGAAACACTAGTTGGTGTGCCCCTGGGTGCACAGAGTTGCTTACACCTTGCTTTCTTCTTCTGGTAAAGGTGGGGACCTGCAGCTCCTCCAACTCTAGATGGATTTATTCTCATTTGTCAGCCCTCCATTCCCTGGCATTGGGCCACTGGGTATTTTCTGGGAATAGTCAGAAATTTTGTTGTGCGCCTCCTCTTTAAGGTTACTTCAATAGCATTTCTGTTGTTTGTGACACTTTTTGGCTTTTGTTTTTGACTAATTATAGTCTTATCAAAATACAACAGCATCACTTTATAAATGATGCATTATGATAAACAATACGAATTCCTTTTAAAGTGTGTACAGTATGTACAGGCTATACAGCAAGCCCATTTATGACACTCAAACACAAAACTGATATTGAGGGTAGGACTGCCACATCTGGTCCACCTCATCTTTTGGTAGGGTCTGGGGACACATCTGTGTGTGACTGGGTTTGGTGAACTTGAATAGTGAATACCAAAGGTTTTGCATATCTTCAGCCCAGTCCGCTCTCCTTCCTAGCCTTTCTTTCTGGCATTGGCTGTAAATAGCCACACACACACACACACACAAACATAAGTGGTTACAATATAAAAATCCACATTTTCTAAAAGACATTCTAGTACAGTATTTTTTTGCAGTGTCTTGTTCATGGAGTGGTGCAGAAACATGCTGTGGTATTTTAGATATCACTGTGAGATAATACTTGGCAAATGTTGGATTTTATTAGCTTATTTTAAGTATTGGCAATGTATTAAATAAGAAACAATTTTTTTCTCTTTTTCCCATTCTACTTTCTCATAAATCAGATCATGGTAATGACACCATTGAACAAATTGATGAAGATATAGCTGTGACTCGGAGTCAGATGAACTTCATTTGTCCCATTACACAGGTATGTATCACTGCTACAGTAATTGACAGGGAAATAGTTATTCCATATTCTTCATTGGTTTGTTTATTACAAATCTGCAATACCTGTTAAACAACATTATATATAACAATAATATTATAAATTTTAAGCATTTTCAGAAAAGAGCAGTACCACTTGGGAAGAAAACCAATGTAAGCAGGAATGTAGTTTACCAAGCAGGACCTCATCCCATAATTTAACTGGAATTCCATGTATGAGTGGCAAACACACTTCCTGCTGTTTCACATAAAATCTCAGAAGAAGCATTTTCATGGGCATCATCAGTTGCTTTAAATCAATCCTTACTGATTACAGGTGACAATGAAGAGGCCAGTGCGGAACAAGGTCTGTGGACATATTTATGAAGAAGATGCCATTCTAGAAATGATCCAGACTCAAAAGCAGAAAAAGAAAAAAGTTCGGTAAGCTAAAAAGAATGTGTGGAAAAGCTATTTGCTTTGCTGTGTAAGTGGAATTTTACTCCACTTGTTCTAGAAAATGTATTTGGATTGGAAAGGCTGCAGGAAGTAAAACTTCAGCATCTGCCCAAGTCGCAGCCTCCTCATTAGTGCTAGACACGTGAAGGTGCTTTTCTTTTTAATGAAAACAATGTGTAAGGAAGTATTCAGGAATTGTGTGGGGAAGTTACAGCTACTTGTAGCTGCACAAGAGAAGTAAAGAGATTTCATATAGCCATGACCAAAAAGAGAGACCTCAGTTTCCTAAAATTCAGTTGCTGATTTGTTCCCACTGCTTTTGTAGGAAGCCTTGAAGTAAATGAAAAAAAAAAATTCCTCCGTGCACCTTCTTTTCCAGTTATATTCCAATACAGCTCAGAAATATTCAAACAACTGAGTGTTAAAGTGAAAAATATTAAACCACAACATTTTAGGTGGAACAGAATTTAAGAATGAGATCAGATAGTGCAGTGCAGTTCCTACCATGATGCAGTCAAATAATTCTTATATCACCAAAACAGTCTGTCACTTTTTCGCATGGGATGTATTTTTTGAATGAAAAGATGTAACAGATGAATTTTTAAACCTCAAAATCTCCACAATAAATTTGAAAATCATAATGATTTTAAGAAAAAAAAAAAGAAAAAAGTAGAAGAAGAAGAGGCTTGAACACTAATGCTTTTTGGAGCAAGTTGAGAGGATGTATCATCTCATCATTGATTTCACATTTGTTTTTACACCATTTATGCTAGACCCTCCTACTCTGGGGCTGATGACTTCATGGAAACTTACCAGTTGTGGCCTTCTTAATAAATGTGCAGTTTGCTTAGGAAGGTCTGTTAGGGACCAGCAACCTGATTTCCCTGAAGATAATGCCACAGGCAGCTTATTTCCTCCATCTGTTCCTCTGGCATTTCTGTTAGGCTCTACACAGTCCTCCATGGGGATTACAAAGGTGGAGCTGGAGTTTTTATTCCATGCTCCTTCCCTGCTACAGGAAAGCACTGCTATAAAACCAAGCATCAGTTATCAGTTGGGGTGCCCATCTCAGTGTCAAGACAGCCTGAAGAACTAGATGGAAGTACCTTGCTTGTGTTACAAAATCTAGGGAAAAATCTGGAATGGGTGCAATAACTGGGAATAGCAACAAAACCAGCAACATGGATGGACAGAAACTGGGCTGGAAAAATGAACAGGAATTGGGTAGTAGCTCTCAAGTTGGAGAAAAATGAGTGTTCTGGAGGATAGGGAGAGGCTAAAAAGCATGTGCTCAACAGCCCAATGACAAGAATACTTTCTCTGATACTGAATTTGATGTTCATATCTAAATATTTCTCTGTGTTTTTAAGTCCATCAGAACAATGCCAATTTAGGAGAAATTGTTGTAGTGGATCAAAAGTTTTAGCTCTGCTGAAAAACAAATAGGGCCACATGACTGAATTTTATTTTACCTTTTAAGAAATGGAAGAAACTCCAGAGTTTAAAAAAATCATATCAGCTGTACAACACCCAGTTTTAAAAGCTGCTTTACTCCCAAACCAAAATTATTTGTGCAGTCTGAACACTGGCACTTCTTAATATTGAGTTTTAGCTGACAGCCTTACCATTTTTACAGCAGTTATTCCAGTGCAAGAAAAGCACACACACAGCAATGCCACAGCTTCACTGCAACTAAATTAAGAAGGACTCCTTGGTTTTCTCTGCCCAGTCTGTCTGACCAACCTACTATAATTTTAAACTTTCTCATGAAAATGCAGTTACTTTGAAAACCCATCATCTGCTGTGGTGGAATGACAGGCCAGCTATTGCCACAAGTTCCCTTTTTCAGTGTCACAGTCTCATGGCGTGGCTGCTGCCAGGGATATTCCTGTGGGAGCAGGTGTCCTGGCAGAGCAGGGCAGGATCCTCGCTGGCCTGACTCTGGAATCAGACCTGTTGCTCACTCTGCAGACACAGAGTGGCTGTTTCCTCACAAGTACTTCCCAGTTGGAATCCACAGGATGCCTTCAGTGCCCTTGGCAGCGCAGGGCCTGCCTGCCAGCCCTTCAGCTGACGTACACTCAGCCCGTGCTGACAGACTTGTCACACACTCCTTGAGGCAACTCTTACGTCTCTTGGTTTGCTCACTATTTTCCACTGCCTGGAAGGACATACTAATACTTTATGCTTACAGGAAATGTGGGAAGCTTTCTGAGCGCTTGTTATTCATTAATCTGGCAAGCTATTGCTGTATTAAGGTGATAAATGGGAAAACTGAGGCACAGAGCAATTAAATGACTGATCTATGACAAACACAGTAACCTGTGGACGAATCCGGAGTAAAAGTTATGAGTACTGAGTGTAAGTAAGTTCAGTACCTCAGACAAAAGTTACTCTAAGAGAGGAAAAAATTCAGGAAAAGTGCTACTTCTTACTATAGATACCATCTGTGTATGTTTGGGCCACCACCAAAGGAAAATGACCTTTGGTCCCTGAATATCTTTTACCGTGCTGTCTTTATCTGGCTGTTTCAGTAGTTGTAAGACATTTTGTATTTGATTATCATCTAGAGGCTGTTAATTTGGCCCCATTTCTCCCTTCTGAGCTTTCACAGCTCATAAAAAGTCAGGTTGATTTTTACACCAACTAGATTGTCCACTGATTCACCAGTCAGTCATGGCAAGACTCACTCCCTTTTGTCTCCCTAGAAAATAATTTCCCTGCTTATCTGGCAGTGAAGATTATACTTCTCCACTGCAGTTTAGTACGGTAAGCAGTATCTACCTGCAGTTTTTAGAGGACTGCAGAGAGAGAAAGCAACACAGAAAGGTGTCCATGCAGTGCTGATATCATTGCTGATGAAGGCAGCTTGTGTGCTTGCAGCAAGAGAGTGAAACAGGTGAAAGGCTCCATCTCTCACTGTGCACCTTCTTTCCTTCCTTCAGCTGATGATTCTCACCAGTTGAGATAGATTTATTTTTCCCACATAGAGCTGGTGAAGAGGACAAGAGGTAACAAGGAACTGAGAGAAAGAGTGAAAAAAAAATGCTAGCAGGTGTTATGCAAAAGCCTGTATCTGACAAATACTTCAAATTAAATTCTTCCAATTTAATGGAGTCTCTCTTTTCTTTTTAACAGATGCCCTAAAATGGGCTGTAGCCATGTTGATGTAAAAGGATCAGATCTTGTACGAGATGAAATACTTAAAAGACTGATTGACAGTCAGAAAAAACAAAGCTGGTCAACACTGGACACATGAGCTGGATATGCTACTGCCACAAAGAAAATTTGTTATTAGAGGTCTTGTGAGATAAGTTGCTGATTCTAAATAGGTTGTATAACTGATTGTTATTTGTTAAGTGTTTCATTTATAGGCAAATAATTGTTAAATGTTTCATTTCTAGCCAAAGTTGAAGGTCTCCACTGTAACTAACTGAAAGCATTTTTTGAACTCAGGAATATAAGGAATTCCAGTTAAACTTGTTTGGTTTTTTTCTACCTTTCTGAATTTCTAAAAGCTTGCATTTGGTAAATAAAGTATGTTTTGCAGCATTTAAACTTTCTTTTCAGTGTGCTGGTTTCTTCACTGTATTAGAGATGCAGATCCTGCCAGCATGTAATAATGAGTGCTTTGCTCTATATTGCAGCTAGTTCTGTTACTGTCTCTGCAACTACTGGGAATGGTTGGAGTAGGGCACTGTGAGCAAGGATTTGCAGTGCTTGGGACCATGCCCATGCTCTAACACAAACTTCAGAGATGCATTTGCAGAAAGTGTTGCACACTTATACCTGGTTTGTGGCCACAGAGAACAACCATTCAGCTTTGAGGATTTGACCTTGTTTTTTATAATTTTGAACTGTCTGCCCTGACTAAGGCTTTTCTTTTGAAATTCAGGAGCATTTAATTCAGGCTTTTTTCATTTAGAAGTCCCAGAAGGCTTTATTTATACCTTGTTTGTGGCCACAGAGAACCATTCAGCTTTGAGGATTTGGCCTTGTTTTTTATAATTTTGAACTCTCTGCCCTGACTAAGGCTTTTCTTTTGAAATTCAGGAGCATTTAATTCAGGCTTTTTTCATTTAGAAGTCCCAGAAGGCTTTACCTTAATATTGTAGGCTAGAAAACTACAATTATTTACGGAGGTATTCCAATAACTAAATTTTAGATAGTACAGATATAGTGTAACCATATGCCTTTATATAAGCTTCAGATCTCTATGCTTTTGGGCACAGATCCAGAAAAGAACTTAAACTTTGTGACACTATTTATTGCCGAAATTGATCTGAACACATAGGCAGATAAGAAATATATATACATGAGTTAGAAATAGCCATAGGTAAAAGAAGCTGCCTTGGCAGTCAGATGACAATTATCTGTTGGCAATATGTAAGCAGAAAATACAGGTTTCTGTCAGCTTTGGGATCCTTAGTGGGCTAGATGGTATTTTCCTATGTAATTTTTCTGAATGTACAATCTGACATTTAATGTAAAATGTAGCTGAGGTACACATATGCTAAGGTTTTCACTCTGGGTTACTGTTTGCTAACAGCTCTCCTTTCATAGACCATTATTAACCCCAATTGCACTTAAGAGCACAAACCACTTCAAGCTGAAAATTGTTATTTTGTAATTGAAGAATATTAATCTGCAAGCTGATTTCATAGCTGAAAAAGAGAACTGAACCATTATTACTTGCACTGGGCTTTTGTGTTCAAAACACTTCATGGGAATTGGCTGGCTAATTTTCATTATGTGGTCTAACCCCCGAGGTCCATCCTTTCCCAACTCTGCAGTGAGTGTGGGTGCTTCTGCCATTGAAGCCCAGCTGAAATAGCTGAAAAGGACTGGGGGGTGATTGAGCAGTATGTACTTGTTTAAATTTTTATGTGTAAAATCAGGTCCCTTTTAAAATACCTCAGGGCTCAAACCTATAGTTTTTAAGGTGGGTCACCCTTTTTCAGTTAAATACTACAAGGGAGGGTGTTAACAATAGCATTAAAAACAAAACAAAACAGGGAGGGGGAGGGAATGTCCTTTTTGTTTCATCTTTAAGTTTGTGGTTAAATTTTTTCTTGAACCATTTCTAAGCAGAATAGTCAGAAACAGAAACTTGTATTGGTTAAACAAGCTCTGCAGTTGCTGGCAGAGGTGCATTAAGATTGTCCTCTTGGGTCTAATTCAATCCTTAGTGATAACCAGCCTCCCAAGTTTTCAGATGCAAAGATGTACATTTTCCACGGCCACAAGTGCTGCACCTCAAATTTAGTTTGTGTTGGTGTCTGAATGTGCCTTCCAATAACACATAACATAATAAATGGTAAATTATACCCAGATTCCTACCAACAAACTGGTGGCAGCAGGTTTGGTTTGCTACCTGTGGCATTTGTACCAGTATAGCCTTGGATTGCTGCAGTTCCTGATATGGTTTGTTGCCCTCATGTTCCAGTGAGTAATGCTGTGAGGGAGATTGCTGTCTTGGTTACACCTTGTTGTCCTACCTGAAAAAGAGGCTTGACCCATCACAGTGCTGCACTCAGCCTCTGTTAGCTAATCCACAGGTCATAAGGTGGACTGCCTGCTTAAGATGGTACAGCTGGGAGAAAAAAACCCAAACAAATCTGAAGCAACACTTTAAATGAAAAGAACAAATAGTCAAACAGTCACTTATGGTCTCTCCAAGAAGAAAAGTATTTTTGGATGTTCATATTCCTGCTTCAAATGACATCATCTTCCTTCTCTCCTTTGCTAGCCTGAGCCAGGCAGTGTCAGTGAATCAGACAATCTGAAAGCAAGTGAAGTTCTGAAATCCTTCTTGGTTTCACCTGGAAGAAATGGACTGATTTTTGGCAGCACTGGCCTGCCTAGCTTTAATAACAATCACATCTGAGGTGAATAGGCATGTGTATTTAAATAGAGGTAGGTTTCTTTCTTTTATCAGCAGAGATGCCTCTTTTAAAATATGTCCATGTTATCCAGAAAAAGACAGATACTTGTTCACTTGTGCCAGCATTGCTGGTGAGAGTACTTGAGTCCCATTAGAATCAGTGATGCACCACACACATTCAAGTGCTAGAATAAACTGCCTGTGTTTACTGAAATCAATGAAGTTTTCACCAAAACATTTGGCATTTCTGAATTTAAACTATAACATAGCATCCAAGGAATCCCAGTATGATGAATGGTATTTTTTTTCCTTTGAACCTGGAACTTGAGCCATCCTGTTGATTTTGCCACGGCCAGTTCTCTCCTGTTTGTTCTTACAAGTAATTTTCCTCCTTAAATTGAAAGATTCCAGGGTTGGCCATCAGCATCCATTGCAGCTGGCTCTTAACTAGGTGGAAGGACAGACTAACTGTGGCAACTGGGGAAGGCTTCTGTGCCTGTCAGCTCACCTGGTGCAAGATAGAAACCACTACTGATTCACTAGGGTGGCTGCAGTTAATGGCAGCTCTTTGCTCTTTCGTTTGCAAAGTTTGGGGTTTGTTGTGCAGTTGTGATCTCTCTCTGTTCCCATGTGTCCCATGTTCCCCCTAAACTCTGCTCCGGGAAGAAGTAGCTTGAAAGAGTTAAAGAATAAAAATAAGTGCCTGTGATGAATAAGCTGTATGATCTGTATGATTCACAGAAGTGGAAACTCAACAGCAGTTAAACCTTCAAATCTTAATCTGCTTTGGCTATAAGATATCATATGTAAACAGGCATATGTTAACAGTTCACAAGGTAATTTGTGTCTCATTGTCTGACGTCAGAAATTTTGCAATGATATTTTTAAAAAGAAATTCAGAGGTCAGGTGGTTGGTTTTTTTTTTTTTCTTTTTCCTTAAGTGTGCTTTACAAATGCAGCAAACCTCAGGGTAGCTAAGAAGGATCTGTTGCTGCAAACTGGTGAGAATCTGTCTCTGCTAGAGAAGTTCCACTTGAGGAACTATTTTGAGGGTTTAAAGAAATGTCTAGGCAAATAATGAATTAAAGGCAAGAGAGATCCACATATAACAGCTTTCAGAGGTACCCTGAGGCACAAGCTATTAACACTTGCTCACTTAAGCTTGCTCTCTCACTTGAACAGATTCTTCCTGTGAATTCTCCATTTTACAACTAGAGAGTCTGAAGTTTTCAAATCAGTGAAGCCATGAGGAATAAAGATAAAAGCTAATCAGGCAGACATCTCATGGAAGATTTAGCACACTTGTGCTAAAAGGAGTGCACATTCCTCTGAATCAAGGACATATTCATCATTACTGCTCATGGAGCTGTGATCTTATTCATTCTAGAAGAATCAAAAAGACTAAGTCAGTGCTCCCTTGAGAAATAACCCGGAGCAAAAGCAGGGGCTGCAGGAAGTGATACTGATGACTCAATAGCCAAGGCCAACACACTGCCTTATTTTAGACAATGTCCTCTTGGATACTCATGTTTCCTCATGAGTGGCTGATGACAAAGGTCTTACCTACCTGTGGTCACAAGTACCTCATGACATTTTTCTCAAGAATAGCTCTAGTACTGTGGCCAGAAGAAACTTAGAGTTCGCTGTGCAACTTTATTAAGTTTCACTGCCATTTCAAGTGAATCTTAATCTTCACATTCCCTAAAAATCTTCATGTATGGATCCTGCTGTGTCCATTAACTAAACATTTGCTTAATGGATAGTGCTTTATTATACAGTGAAGAAGATGCACTTAGAAAAGGGCTTTCTGGGATGGAAAATGTTAGAATATCCCAAGGACAGGTCTTCCTTTCTGTAACTACAGCCAAAGCCTTAAGCTGATGGCTCCTCACTACAGGTACAGACTAGTACTGACGGCAAATTCCAAGTCTTCCATTAATTACAATTTATTTTCTGGTCATAAAGTACTTATTGTTAATACATAATATTTCAAACACCTGACGTGGTCACAGAATGCTCAGAGGAGAATCCTGTGTGTAGGTGCCAGCAGATTCTAGGCTCCCAGCCAGTAACTATAAAGAGCAAAAACATTAGATTGATTGTTAAGCAAGTAAAATTCTGGAATGGGTGTACATCATCCAGTAGATACCCATGTATGTGCTTAGCCTCTTGATGCATGAATAATCGCAGTGACTTGACAGGACTGCAGCAGTGTGCAGAAAACACAGTGTGTTTCATCATTTCAAAGCACTGCAGAAAAGGCTGTGGTGGGCTGAGAAGAGAGCTTGCCTCTCTTGCTTGTTCTGATGTTAGTCCAGACCCAAAGACAGAGCCTGAAAGCACACACATGAATTGAATTGCATGGGAAGCTTACCAAAGGAAGTGTTTGCTTGTAAACTCAGTATGAATAGGATCTTCTCTGACCGCAAGGGAAACGGAGACACTCATTCACTGTCCGCTTGTGCAATCGACTTCTGAAGTAAAAACAGGATTTGAGGTCGAAAACCTGAACCTTCACACGTCTTTCAGGCAACAGAAGAAGCCTTCATGCTCTTCAGTTAGCAAAGGAACAGTCAGGAGGTGCTGCTCATAAGACTCCTTGGATTTGATAACAACAGGCTTATAAAAAGGGAATCATTGAGAGTTCTGAGCTCCAGCAGCCCTCAGAGCAGCTTTTGTGTGGGCTTGAGGGGAGACATCTGAACACCATTACATTGCACTCCTTTTGATGTCACTACGTGCTCGTCATGTGTTTTATATCTCAGCGGTGAATCTGCCGCCAAGTTCCACAGTGTCTGAGGATGGCTGTGGGTTATCACAGATGCTGTTCTGCTATAAAAAACATTACTTTTAGTTCTTTATCACCTGGCCATACGACTAGTCTTTGAGTCCCATCTGTGCAGGGTAATTCTGTACACCCTTAGATTGTAGATGGCATGCTGGTTTTAAATTGTTGGCATTCAATCTGACAGTAGTTTAATTTTCATTACATGGCTTTAGATAACTTTTAAAATAAAGATACTGATTTTTCATCATTTACCAATAGTTTAATATTAGCCAAAATATTTGTGTTCCTTGCTTCTCTCATCCAGTAACTAAAATAAAGACCTTTTCATTTTTTTCTTTAGCAAGCAGCCAGTTTATTTATAAGTGCCCTAATCTAATAGAGATTTATTCTGTGTGTCCCATGAGACATACTATCAAAGTTACCAGACCTGTCCCAAGCATTTGGGAAGTGGGGAGATGGTTACACAATTCTCATTGCCTCTGGCTGCTCTAGTTATAGAGATAAAGGGTCAGAGAACTGGAGCAACAGTGATAATTTTGTGAGCATCTAAGGAAAAGCAGCTGCTCAGGTGAGTGTAAGCACTGGCTGAGGGCAAGGCAGGTAGATGCTTGAAAACCACGTAACAAAAATTCCCTTAAATAAAATAACAGGAATGGAAGGATCAATGCCTGAGCACTAGGAATTCTGGATTCTTCAGTCTTCATCTCACAGATGCACTGAGCTGCTTGTCTGTTTCAAAAAAGAGAAAAAATATATGAAGAGCAATATTCACCTTGCCACAGTTCTGGCAAATCTGTGCTGGGTAAGACCCTTCCCTCTGCTAGGACGTGCCCATTCTGTGATACACATCCCATGGGCTCTTTTTTCTGCTGCAGTCCCAGATCCTTGCCTAGCAGCTGGGATTCCAGGAAGTGAGAAGACAGCCAGCAGTCCTGCTTGCTTTGACTGGCCTTTTCAAAGGCAGGATCTACTTTTTGTAATGATTTTGCAATATCCTTTGACTGAGAGCTCCTCAGACTTTAGTAATATTAGGAAGGTGCCTGTTGCACACTGTTGTCCTTTGCCAGGCATGAAGACATTACTTCCAAAGGTTATCCCTGCCCACCTCACAGGTACCAAGTCCCTTTGGAACACCAGGGCTGAGTGATGGTTCCTCGTATTCTGCTGGCTCACAGCAGTTTATTTTTTCTGGCACGTGGATAGCAGGACTCATCCACAGAGTCAATGTTTTATCCCAGCATTAGGTCTGTAATTGTGCACTGATCTGTGCTTCACAATGATTTTCAGTGCTGTCCACTGGAGATGTGTAACATTGCCCTGGTTCATTTTGAAGAGCTGTAAAGCCATTCAGGCTCAAATTCACCACAGGCATAACAGGGAATTACCAGGACAGTATTCATCACATATGCTAAGCAGGTAGAGCCTGAAAAGTCTTTTTTGAGGAAGGGGGAGATGGAATGATGAAGACTTATGCAGGGAATAGAAGAAAGACCCTATAAGATAGCTTTTGATTTCAGGAGGAGACTAATGCAGGAGATAAGCCTGCATGCTAAAAGCCAGTGGTGTGATGGCAACAAACACAAGGTTGCTATGTCAAGTATTTTCTGCAAAAATCTTATAACACTGAAATGTTGCAACAGTTTTTCACAAATCTCTTCCTGGAATTCCTCCTGTTCTCAGCACTGGTTCCTAACCACACCAAGGCTGCACATGCAAGCACTGGCAGAAATGGGCAAGGAGGACAAGTTTCAGCCCTTTGAGAAAAAGCAAAAGAACATGCCATGCAGGTCATCAGACAAAATCCTTGGCATCCTCCTTTTTTCCCTTTTTTTTTCATTTTGCATTTTGGGGATTGGCCAAAATTAGAAAAACCAGAAAAGCCAAAGTGGGAATCACTTCTCTGCTCTATATCTTGAAATGAATTTGGTGGGATGGAGGGGAGGTCTGGATGTGGACCTCTTCCTATGTTCTGTACCCAAAACATAAGACTAACTTGAGTAATAGTTGCTACTATATGTTTAGCCATGGCATTAAGACTTTGAGTACCTGAAAGCATGGCCAGGCATTTTAAAGAAGCAACAAAGGTTTCCTTCTGTCAAGAACTTCACCCATTTTGCAAAGACCTGGGAGATTTAAGCTTTGGTTTGTCTCAGTCACATGTACACAGTCAACTGTAGTTCAGTCTATACAGTCCAACTAGAAGAGGGCACCCACCACTGCTTCTGAAATGAATACCCCAGGGATAATATTTTCCTGGCCTTTGGGGACTGCACACCCAGTTTTAGGGCTCCAGTTAGCAGGGACACACATACAGAGCATGAAATTGCTGGAATCCCTGTGAGAAAAGGCTGCCCAGGCACCAGGAGAATGTGGCAGGACTGTGAGGTACAATGCTGTGTGTACCTCTGCTCTCCTCACATGCCAGATGTTTTTTGGGGGAGCCAGGATGACAACAGGTGCTTTTTTCCCTTCCTCAGGACCAGTGGGTGCCATCCCCTGTTTGGCTTGAGCCAAGCACTTGTGCTCAGGTGCCACTGTGTCCCCATGGTGTGCACCTAGAGGTTTTAAATGGATGGGAGGCTGGGCAGATGAAGGATGCAGCTTCCAACAATGTATGCAACAGATCCTCAGTATGGCCCCTGTCCTCAGCAGGGACAGTGATCTGGCACAGGAGCTGAGAGAATGGGATCTTTGGGAGGGTGGGGACACTGACACCTTCACTCCTGCTCACACTGCATCTCAGTTCTGAGAGAGCTACAGGGGACACTGGTACACACTACTAATGCCCATGAGAACCTTCATGCAGGTCCACTGCTGTTTTATCTGCACCCATTTGTTTTTGTCTGCACCCTTCCCCTTCCCCAAAGCTACTGGTACCCTTCCCCCCGACCTTGCACCTTGTGCTGTCTCAGATGTATGAAGCAGCCCACACATGTGGCATCCTACCAGCTAAATTCACCCAGCAGCAGCATTCCAATCATTAAACTTCCAGGAAGGAAAAAGTAAAACAAAAGGTCTGATAGACACTTGCATGTGTTTTACCTGTAAGAGGAACCAAATAAAATAGCGTGCTTTGAGAGTTGTGGTGAATCACTCAGAAACAATCTGCAGGCATTAACGGAATTTTATTTCTGGGGATAAAAAAAAAGAAAGAAAGAAATGCAGGCCCTGGGATATCCCTTTATGGCATATGCGTTTTATGTTTAAATGCATTAATGGGACTGCTATGCTATGAGTCATCCCGCACAAGAGTTTCATGTGTTTCTTAAAATACACTAGAAGTAGCTGAAGGCATGCATGGGTTTGCTGTGCAGTTATCTATCAGGAATCTGAGCGAATACCTGCACACGTGGCATCACAGGCTTCAGAGCTGGGGGGGCCCATCCTCGGCCCTCTCTGCCTCTTGTACAGACCCGGGTTGGGGAAACCAAAACAGAATAGGAGTTGATCCTACTGAATAACAAAATGCAGAGTCCCTGTGTTAAGATTAAGGAAGCTTCAGCACTAAATTACAAAAAATTTGCATATATATAAACAGAAAACTGGAGAGTTTCTTTTTGAAGCATTCTTGTCAAAACTACAGCTGTCAGCTTTTTTTTTTCCCCAAGGATGATTTGTTCTCTGGTTTTGTCTCTTTGACTCATTTTTTCCCCCCATTTACTACCAGTCCCGGCTGTAAGTCTATTTACTACTCCTTTATAGCCACGCTATTGAGCTTTGTGGAGCTCTTCTCAGTCTGCTCCTCACAGGACACTGCAGCTGCTGGCTGCTGCCTGGCTCTCCGAGCTATTCCTTTTTCGGACAGCAGATATAGTTTTAACATGGGAAACACCCAGTGCCAAGTATTTCTGATGGTGCACGTTACGTCTCCGCTTATGAGTAAACGCTTATGCTCACACAACAGCGCTGTGATGCAAACCGTGGGGTGAGGGATGGTTATTTAGTGATTAGTGAAAAGTAAGAACTGGGGCTGGGAACCTGCAGTTGTAAGGACGAGAAGATCCTGGAAAGGAAGGTGGCCTCGCTTTCTCGGCATAATTATTTAAGGTCGAAGCGGGGGGTCCCCGCCGCCCCGAATCCCGCGGCGAGTCCCCCGCCGCCCCGCGCGGCTGCGCGCCGGGGCCGGGGCGCGGAGAGCGGCGGGCGGAGCGGAGCGGAGCAGAGCAGGCGTGTCCCAGCCTCTCTCCTCCCATTTCCCCGTGCGTCAGGGCCGGGAGGAGGAGGAGAGTCACCTTTTTTTTTTAAAATTTTTTTTTTTTAAAAGCCTCCAACTACTTTAGCGCGGACTCGGCAGCAGATGGTGGACACGGCCCGAGGTTTCGGCGGGGAGAGCGAAGGGATGCGCCCAGCGCGCAGCGCCCGCCTGTAGCTCCGCGCCCGCTCCGCTCCCCCCATGAGCCGCCCCGCGTCCCTGCTGCCGGCCGCCCGCTGCCGCAGCGCCCCGGCCAAGCGCCTCCAGCCCCTGCACGACGGCCCCGCCGAGGAAGCGCCGGCCGCCAAGTGCCCTCGGCTCGCCGAATGCGGCCCCCCGGACTGCCTGAGCGCTCCCGGGTCGCCGTGTGCCCCCGCTTCTCCCGCGGGCGGCGGCGGCGCGGCGGGTCCCAGCCTGATCGCCTCGTACCTGCTGCTGCCGCTGGCCGAGCGGGAGCAGGTGTCCCGGGCGCTGAGCGTCAGCTCGGGCCGGGAGCTGCGCTGCAAGGTGAGCGGGAGCTGCGCGGGTGGGGAGCGGGTCCTGCCAACATCCTCCCGCTGCTGGGAGCGCCCGGCCAGCCCCCGGCGGCGTTTGCACGCCCTGCGAGCGAGCCGGGGCTCCGGCTTACCTCGGAGCGCCTTCCCCCCAAAGGCTGCGGGAATGGTGGCTTGTTTTAGTTTCCCCCCCGCCCGCCCAGCATTTCAATATACAACGAACAGGAAGGGTCGCGGTAGCCGCTTCTGCCGGTCTTGCCGAGCCCTGGCTCCCCTCCAGCTCCCTCGTCATTGTTTGGGGAGAGTTGCTACGCGAGCTGCAGCTTTCAGCGCCCTTGAGAATGAATTTGGGTTTAATTTCCTCTGTACAGGTGTTCCCCCTCAAACACTACCAGGACAAGATCCGACCTTACATTCAGCTGCCGTCACACAGAAACATCACCGGGGTTGTGGAAGTCATTCTCGGGGACACGAAAGCCTATGTGTTCTTTGAAAAGGACTTTGGGGACATGCACTCCTACGTGAGGAGCTGCAAGAGGTTGAGGGAAGAGGAGGCTGCCCGGCTGTTCAAGCAGATTGTCTCCGCTGTAGCTCACTGCCACCAGTCAGCCATCGTACTTGGTGACCTCAAGCTCAGGAAATTTGTCTTCTCTAATGAAGAAAGGTGAGTGGCTGTCAGCAGCCAGCCCTGGGGTGAGTGGGGAGGGAGGAATGCCACATCCAGAGACACAAAAAGCGTCCCAGGGAGTGGAAACAGCCCCGTCAGCCGGGCATCACCTGCGAGCAATCCGAGTAGGTCCTCATCACGTGTGTGTAGTAGGTCACGGATCTAACCGGGGCGCACTCCCTCTTAGATCTTGATTGATGAAAGGGAGGAAGCTCGCCGGGAGCTTCCTCTCATTCAGCAGAAGTTCAGTGAAACCCGCTGGCAGACAAAGGGATGATAGTTCAGATGCTCGTTAGCGCCAGAAGATGTCATGTGTGCCGCTCATTCAGTGTCAAATGAATAAAAGGCGCAGAGGGAGAGGGGGAAGGCTGAGGTGTTGTGCCGGCAGGAGGAAGCAGCGCAGCTGGGGGAGCAGGAGATGTGAGGAGCTGGAGCTCTGGTCCCTCCTCGGGAGAGTTTCCTTGTGACCCACGGGGGAGCCCCAGAACTTGGGTAGGGTCTCATTGCTGAACCACTTTGCTGATGAGACTGATGCTTGATGCTGCTGAACCCTTCGAGGCTTTTATCCCCCCTCCACTGCCGTGCTTCCCGTGCCCCTTATGTCCGTAGATTGTGGGCACACACAGGAGTGAAGGTGGGACGTGGTTAAATAATGGTTTGGGAATCCTGCATCAAAGAAAATCACTTTAGTAAAACTTAGCCTAAAGCCTAGGTTCATAGAGGAGATTATAGAATCTAGTTGTTAAATTTAGATTAGGGAAATAATTCAGTATTCCCCCTGGAGTGTTTGCTGCTCTTGCAGTGCTTCACCACACGTGGCAGAGTCAGAAATACAACAAAACTGACTCTTGACTAGCTGCTTATCCCAAGGAATGTTAAAAAAAACTAAGTAAAAGCTGTAATGGAGTTGTGCTTAATATCATAAAAATGTAAGGTGATACTACTGATGCAAAAGAAAAGGGATTTTTTTTTTTGTTAAACTGGGCTAATGATTCTTCAGGATATCTTTTATGAATGTGATAAGAAAGTTAACCAGCACTGCCCCTCTGAAACAGCCGTATGTTGACACGTAAAGAAAGCTATTCCTTTGAAGGAAACTATTGCAGCTTTTCCCTCCCATAAGAAGATGAAACATTTGTTGAAATGTTACGTTGCGCACAGTCTCGCTCATTTGGAAATAACGTGTTGCACAGGCGATGTCATGTGCATCACATTTGGCAAGAAGAGGGTTAAGCAATGGCAGGCGACGCGGGCTCTCTCACAGGTGCAGTTTCAGGGCTCCCGCAGCCAATCCCGGGCCCACGGTTCTCGTTGAGTCATATTTTCCGTTTGCAGAACCAATGGGTATTTGCCGAGGTCAGGCTGAGGACAGGCTGAAGCCAACATATCTACACCCCAGCAGGCTGCCAGGCAGTGCAGAGCCCTTCCAGGGCTGGCTGATGCCTTCCCTGCCAACGGGAACTCCCCTTACCCTCCAAAATAGGAGGTTGAGGTGGACCCATCTCCACCTGGAGATGGTGGGTGCAGTGTTAAGCAAAGGCAAAAAAATAAATTATGAATTAAAATGAAAAAAAAATAAATAAAAAGCTTAGGAGAGGCAATGATCCTCGTCAGTGCAGAGGGTTTGTGGTTTGTGGAATCGCACAGCTGGATGCTGTTTGCTCAAAGCCTGAACGGCACACAGTGGCTGTAAAGTGCCATGTCACCAATTAACCCCCTGCAGTGGCACTGCAACCTGCGTGGGTAGCGGTGGCTTGGTGTTCCTCAAGAGCCCTCCGTGTTGTTAAAATCTCCAGTTCATAAAAAAACATGAGCGTCAGTGAATGCTGGCCTGATGCACACAGCAGCACTTCCATTACACATTCCCAGGCGTCTGGGCAACTTCTCTGCTGCAAGTTGAGGCGTTTCCTTTCTCAGTGCCAAAGCGAGAGAGAATGGGGCCATGGCAGGGGCCATGGCAGGGGCTTGCTTATTATTGAGTGTAGCTGTTTCTCACCTGTGGCTTCCTCTCCTGCCCTCCCTAGGACTCAGCTGCGTCTAGAGAGCCTGGAAGACACACACATCATCAAAGGTGAAGACGATGCACTCTCAGACAAGCACGGCTGCCCGGCGTACGTCAGCCCTGAGATCCTAAACACGACGGGGACTTACTCTGGAAAATCGGCCGATGTGTGGAGTTTGGGAGTGATGCTTTATACCCTGCTGGTGGGACGCTATCCCTTCCACGACTCGGACCCTAGCACTCTGTTTTCCAAAATCCGCCGTGGACAGTTCTGTATTCCTGACCATGTCTCCCCCAAAGCCCGCTGCCTCATCCGCAGCCTCCTGCGGCGGGAGCCTTCTGAAAGACTCACTGCTCCAGAGATCTTGCTTCACCCTTGGTTCGAGGCAGTCTTGGAGCCAGGATATACAGACCAGGAGACGGGAACTTCAGATCAGATTGTCCCAGAATATCATGGAGACAGTGATGATATTAGTTCCTTCTTCTGCTAACCCCAAAATCTCAAAAACCTCGTCGATTCTTACCTCCGGCGTCTCTGTAGGGTTTCATTTCTCCATGTCTGCAAACTCAACAGCATCTTAAAGTGCCAGTATGGTCAGAAAAGTGACCTTGTCTAAATGAATGCCATCCTGGAGGTCTCCACTCCCCAAGTGTCCTCAGAGTTCCATCCTCTTGCTCTGCTGGTCGGTCCCAGCAGCCCCGGAGGACTTGTGCAGCCCTGTGAGAACTGTCTGGCTCTTCTGCCTCCCGCATCCTCCTCCGGTGTAACTGGCCGCGTCTTGGCTGCAGAGTCTGACGTCTGGCAAGGTGTGGGATGGAAAGGCAGCTCCTTCTGCTTTCCTGCAGCGGTAGCAGAGGTGTGGAGCCCTGGCTACGATGTGTAGGTGCAGAGGGGCACATGGCACACCTCTGCCTGAACAAATCTGACAGAAATGGTTGAAAGGGGGATCGACTCGGCGTGCCCCAGCAGCCAGCTCACAAAGCAGCTCTCTGACTGTAAGCACACATTAATGAGGGAAGGAGGTCTTCACCCACCATGGCCAGCTCTCTGCTCGCTGCTGCTTCTCCAGATGATCCTGCTTTCGGAGGCGTGAAGCTCCTAGATCCACCCGTAGGACAAATCACTGCTGTGGCTCTTTCTGAAGCAGAAACCAGTGGATCTCCCAGCTGGATCCCTTCTGATTCCATTCGCTGTCCAGGAAAGCATTTTAAATAGACTTAAGCCTCGTGTTACCACAGTGTAGCCTATATAACTTTATGCCCTCAGCAAGCTTGTCAAGTAGCAGGTCTCATTAGCTCCGAGTGCCAAAATGTATCCGTTTACCAAACGTAACACTATCGGCTGGGGCACCTTCCCCTGGGAAAGGATAAGGGGTGTCTTGTACAGTACCTGTAAACATGGCCATGTTTTTCAACCACCTTAACTCTTAAAAATACCACATCACCTCCTCTTTCCCCCTCCACCCCCCCAAAAAAGTTAGTCTTAAGAGCAAAATCTCCGTACACCCTTAGTTGATTATTCAGGTATTTTGTTTGCCTCCAGCCTCCCCCCAACTTTTTTTTTCCTTTTTTTTATTTTTTTAAATTTTGTTTTGTTTTTATTTTGCATGATTATTCATAGTCTTTCCGATATGTGTGAATAATGAG